CAAATCACCCTTGCCTAGAAAGCGAATCGTAGGACATCATAGACAATTTTAATAAATCAAGAAAATGTACACAAGTAGCAAACTCGATGATACAAAGGATAAAATCTCGATTTTGAAAAGAAAAGTTCATCACGCCACCAAATATTGATTAGGTGATGTCAATATGATCTGCTGGCCTACAATAAACCGAGTGTGACAAAAGGATCAATCAAACTAGCATAAGAGAGAGCAACAAGCCTTGCACTTTGATACCAAACACGAAAAGTGACACTAGAGAAAAAGAAAGGAGTGTGGTTGGAATAGTCGGGACTTATATTTCTAATAACAAAAAGATACAACTTACAAGCCAAAAAAAATGATATGTCACATCCTACCAAAGTCAAAGTGGTCTATCACACCCGATAAACTCAAAATAATCTATTACATCCTGTCAAATCAAAGCGATATGTCAAGTATAGCGGTTGTCAAAATGGTATGTCACGTCCTAACAAAATTATAATGGTATGTCATACCTAGTAGAGTGAAAGTAATTTGTCATGTCCTACCAAACTCATAGTAGTTTGTCACACTTAGTAGAGTCAAAGTGGTCTATCATGTCCTACCAAATAAGAATAGTTTGCCAAATATAGTAGAGTTAAAGTGGTATGTCATGCCCTATCAAAGCCAAAACGGTTTGTCACATCTAGTAGAATCATAGTGGTCTATCTCGTTTTGCCAAAGTCAAAGTAGTATGTCATACTTAGTGGAGTCAAAGTGATCTATCACATCCTTCCAAATCGAGTGGTCCACCAAGTATAGCAAAGTCAAAGTGATCTATCATGTCGGGTAGAGTGATCTGTCACACCTAGTAGAGTTAGAGTGGTATGCCATGTCCTGTCAAAGTTAAAATGGTCTATCACACCCAACGCAGTCAAAGTGGTCCGTCATTTTCAGCCAAATCGAGTGGTCCGTCAAGTATAATAGAGTTAAAGTGGTCCGTCACGTCCTACCAAAATCGAGTGAATTATCACACCTAGCTAAGTTAGAACGATCTATCACGTCCTACCAAAGTCAAAGTGGTCTTCCATGTCCCGCCAAAGCTAGAGTAGTCACGTCACATCCTTCCAATCCATATGGTCTACCATCATCCCCAATCTTACCCATCACTAGTTTTCTTTATCAAATGGTTAATTGTCATTTAAATTCGACGATTATCTTATCCTTTCTTTTTCTTTTCTTTCCTTTTTATGTTTGCGTTGTGTTTTCGTTTCATTTCTAGTTTTTCTCTTCAAGACTTTCTATACAAAGTCAAAAAATAGTCTTTCAATGACTTTGTAACGAAAGCATTATAAAGAGAAGCCAATCGTTAATACCCAATTTCTCCCCTGCCCCCTAACTATTCTCTTTTATTCTTATTTTTATTACAAAAAATATATAAAAAAGAAAAAAAAGGGAAAAATAAAAAAATAAAAAGAAATCAATTTAAAAAAGAAAAAAGAAATCAATTTAAATAAATATTTCAAATTAGTGTAATTAAAAAAAAAAAAGAGAAGAAAGAAATTTTGAGAATCAAAATAAACACAGTTAAGGGCAAAAAGAAAAAAAAAGAACAACAAATTCTCAAATTAAAAAACAAAATGGATATAATTAGAGAAAAATTTCAAGAAAGGACTTGATTAATAATAATTTGAGTGCCACTAAAGTTCAAAGGACCCAAATTATACTTAATCCGATAAATTAGATCAAATTAGGGACCAAAATGAATTTTTATCCTAAAAGCCCTAACTTCGCCTATAAAAACTAACTTTTCTCTCCACACAAAAAGTCTTCCATCTCTCCTAAAATTTCCAGTAGCTTTTTCTCCATCTTCAAGTTGGTCTGCAAGGTCCACCACCTAAAAAACTTTAAAAAAAAAAAAAAAACTTATATTTCTTCATTATCCATATAATACCGAGTACCCATTAAAACTAAAATTTAATAAAATTAGAAGTATTAAAAAAATATGAAAAAATATTTTGAGGGCATGGAATAATCTACAAAAGGTTGAAATAATATTTAGAGCGAGTTAGAATAATTTTTCTATACTCAATGAATATCTTATTGATTTTATGATGCATGAATAATGATTTTTTGTGTGAAATTATTATTTTATACATGTTGTATGTGCATGAAAAATATTTTATTTGCTTAGAATATTTACTATAGGAGTGTTAGATTATCCTATGTTGTTGGATGAATTTTTCGATACTTTGAATATTTTATTTTGCATTTTATTATGCATGAATAGTAATTTTGAGATAAATTAATTAATTTAGGTGCTTTAAAAATATAAGAAAATTATTTCAAGGGTATGAAAAATTCATTTAGGATGTTTAGGAATATTAAATAAGCTTAGATGAATTTTCCTACATACAAGAAATATTTTCCATTGAAAAATAGTGTAATTTTTACACTAAATAATTAATTTGGAGGTCTAAATAAAGGTATAAAAATTATGTGAATCATGATTAAATTCTTTTAAAACGTTTTTGAATTTATTATGAAGAGAAATTGAATTTTGAAAAAGTACATAATAAAATTTTAGAGTTAGGGACCTAATTGTATAAAATTTAAAGTTTGAACTTTTAAATTAAATTAATTATGAATTTAAGGATTTAAAAAGTTGTTAAGATATCTTTAAAGGAAGGGTCTAAAGTAATTAATTGAAAATTTGAAGGATGAATGGAGGAGTAATTAGATAAAAGATTAGTAAAATGAAGGACTAAAATTAAGTAAAATTTTGAGAGTTTTTCTAACCTTCAAGTCGACTTTTAACTATATGATTAGGCGTTAATTAATGATTTTTGACTTGGTAAAAAGAAGACGATAGAATTAGTCAAGATGGAAGGCTAAGAATAAAAGATGGGTTAATGGCTAAAATTAATCCATTTGAAGAGCTACGATTTAAAATTGATTTAAGGATTAGGATCACTCCAAATTATAGCAAATCAAGGATAGAGATGAGGTCGAGAGGTCCACCAAAATTTGGCTATAAATATGGATGCAAGAAATTCAAGAAAATGCTTGAAAATTAGCTAAACCCAAAGGAAACTCTTGCAAAATTTTCTTAGGAATTTCCACCCAAAATCCAACTAAATTACCTCAAAACACTTTAAATCAACTAATCAAACAAGGAAATCAAGCTAGAAGATCAAAATTTATCAAGAAGGAAAAATTGGACTTAGGACGAATTAGTGAAGAAAAAGGGGGAAGAAATTTCTCAAATCATCCAACCTTTCAAGGCTAAATTGGAGCTTAATTGAGTAAGTTAACTTCACCTACACCATAAGTCATGTTTAACTAATGTCAATTTGTGACTTGGATGCTTTAATTTATGATTTTTAGCTTTAATTTTATAAATTAGGGTTAGGGTTCTTAGTGAAGAAAAATTGAAGAAAATGCAATTAAGCTAGTAATTCATGTAATTAAGGTTGAAACATGTTAGTTGAACTTAAATTTGAGGTTTAGAAATAAAAAATTGCTACAATTAGGAAGTGGTGAACTTTCGACCCAAATGAGAGAATAAGAACTTTATGATACTTTGATTTAATTGATGTTATATAGCTTGATTATGACTTAATTAAGTGTGAATTAATGTTTAAAAATGAAAATTTTCATTTAAATTGAAGAAACTTTTATGAATTTCTTAGGATTAACGTTCGACCTAAAATCCTAAAATTTAGGGTTTTGATTCTTCCACTTAATTCATAAATTTTTAGTTAATTGATAGTTGAATGAGTATAATTTGATGAGTAAAAGTGAAAAATTCTAGGAAAGTTGAAGAAATTTGCTTGATTTAACCTAAGCCCAATTTTGACCCATTAAGGCCCAATTGGGCTTTATACCCAAAATTAACCTATAAATGTCAATTAAATTGATCCTTAATGTTAATATGTAATTAAATGACTTAGTATTAGAATTTGGTGATGAATTGGGAAGAAAAAATTAAGGTTAGAATTAATGTAGCATTCGGCCCAAAATGTGGCAAACTAGGATTTAGGTGTAATTGGTTTTTAACACTTTAATTAACCATTTTGGACCTAGGATAATGCAATGAGATGAATTAGAATGAAAAATGTCATTGTAACCTAAAAATTAGCTCGTATTAGTGAAGTAAAGGTTTAAGCCCACAAAGGCCCAATTTGAAAATTATGCATAAAATTAATCAATTGACACTTCATTAATTTAATTCTTGATGTTACATGTTGGTTGAGTGGAATCATGTTAGAAATAGGTATTAAAATTGAAAGAAAATGGTTTGGTTAAATTAGGGTATCATTCGACCTAAGTTAAGAAATCTAAGGTTTGTGACTTGATTTATATAATTTAATGTGTGGATGAGTTTTAAAATGCCAATTGATGAGTTTAAAATGCGTATGTTATATGTAAGTTACAATGCTGATGGCGATGAAGTTGTGTTGCTTTATGTTGTGTATTGGTGCGCTTATTTATAATGGATTGAGATGATTTTGCCATGGTAATGTTGATGGTGCATTTATGTTGTTAAATTATGCAAAATCAAGGCATAAATGCATCTCATTATGGCATGCATTTCATAAAGTAATAATGGTTATGCATTTTCAATAAAATCCATATGCATGCCTAATTTTATGGAAGATGTTTTAAAGTTATGAAAATATATTTTATGAGGTTTTCCAATAGTGATTGGAAATGTTTTTAGGAATGAGATTTTCATGACTATGAGGAATTTTATGAGGAGGGTTTCATGAGTTTTCCATACCTATAATGGTTCATGATTTAAAGGACGAGGTCGAGCAAAGTGTAGACGTGTATTTCCGGAGGCTAGGTGGTGACTCCTCATTCCCAAACCCTTACCCGGATACCTTTACAAACTAGTACATTTAGGGTTTCTTAGTTCTTTTTGATAAGCTAGGTGGTGACTCCTCATTCCCATGTAGTTCATTGCATAGGCATCAACATCCATCATCATGTTGAGTTTTATAAACGACGTTAACAAGTACAAGTTTCTTAAGAACTAAACTGCGATATTGCATAATGTGGTCTTTGGTTTGATGCGTCTTATTATTCAAGTTGCCTCGATCATCATAAGTTTTGTTTTCCGAATCCATGTATTCTCTATTCAGCTTGGATATAAGCTTCTTAATTTCCTTATCGGTTGCATATTCTTCAAAATCAAAACTACCATTTGTAAGGATAATGCCATTGCTCTTATTCATATACTTCTTTCTAGTAGCTTTCTTCTTATGTTTCATTGGAGAAAATTTCAATGTTGCATATAGATCTTCTTTGCTTTTAATTAGACCATCTTCAGCAATAGATTTATTGAGCCTTGCCTTAATTAATATTGCCAAGATAGGAAGAAGAAGACTCGTGTGTTCACCTTCAATCTTTTGGCCCATGCTATACACTCATGCTACTCTTTTCATGCCTTACATTCTATATTTAATTTCTCTATCGATGCTGAATTGGTTTCATGATCCTTGCCAACGATAACACCAAACTATAGCTTCTTTTGCCATTCTATGTCCTCATAAGTTATTATTGTTTCCCTAAAAGGTCTTGATTTATGGTAGTGGATTGAAACTACAAGACAAATACCACCTTTGGGAAAAAAAAATCCTACCCTCATTCAAACCAAAGCTCATGAAGAAAAAGAAGCTAAAGCTTTGAGAGCTTTATCTTACATTCATGTTGTTGTCTCGGAATCAATTTTCATAAGGATTATGGCTAGTGAAACACCAAAAGAGGCTTGAGACAAGCTTAAGAAGATGTAGATGGGAAGTTACAAAGCTAGGCAAATGTAGATTTTGAAGTTGAAGAAGGAATTTGAAGTTTTAAGGATAAAAGATAATGAATCCATTAAACAACATGTAGACAAGCTCATGGAAGTTGTTAATAAAATCGGCTTCTTGGTGAAGATCTAGCGAGGCCAAAGGGTTGTGGAGAAAGTTCTCATGAGCTTGTCTAAAAGATTTGAGTCCAAGATCTCTTCTCTGAAGACTCAAAGGATTTAACCAAGATTTTTTAGTCGAGCTTGTTCATGCTTTTCAAGCACAAGAACAAAAGAGATCAATAAGACGGGAAGATAGGACTTTCCTTGCAAAGCAAAAAAGAAAAGCTCCTCAAGGTGCAAAAAGAAGCAATCCAGTGAGAACAAAGATAAGTAGGGCAATGAGGGCAAAGGAAGTAAAATGGGTCACAAATGGAGATATCCTCCATGTCCTCATTACAAAAGAAGGGTCATTTCGGATAATTATTACTAGTTTAAGCTAGGTGTGTAATGTAGATCATACAACCAATTTGGTCATGTAGAGAAGGTATGCAAGAATAAAAAAGATCAGCAAGGATAACATGCACAAATGGCTAAAAATTAACAACAATAAGAATAGATGCTTATAGTTACAATTCATGTAACAAACAACTATACAAAAACTTGGCTTATTGATAATGGTTGTACAAACCACATGACTCTTGAATTGAGCAATTTTAGGGAGTTGGATCAGCTATACAAGTTGAAAGTAAAGATTGAAAATAAAGACTTTGTTGATGTCAAAGGCAAGGGAGTTATTATTGTTAAGACTCCAAAAAGTATCAAATATATCTTAGATGTGTTATTTGTGCTCGAAATTAGTCAAAGTCTATTAAGTGTGGGTCAAAAGCAAGGGATTTACTATTGTTAAGACTCTAACAAGTATCAAATATATCTTAGATGTGTTTTTAGTGCTCGAAATTAGTCAAAGTTTATTAAGTGTGGGTCAAATGCTAAAGAAGAATTATTCCTTGCATTTCAAAATAAGTCCTGCATCATTGTTGATAATGTTGGTTATGACTAAATGACTGTAAAAATAACAGAAAAAGCTTTCCAATTAGAGGAAAAGAGACTAATTTACATGCCTATACCATTGTTATTGACGAGTCTATGTTGTGGCATAAGAGGTTTGGCTATTTTCATTATGCTTGCACTTAAACACTTGCATCACAAAGGCTTAACTCAAGGACTACCTTTCATTTTGGAATGTATGTCAAGTCTATCTATTTTGGAAGCAAAGCAAATAGATGTTTCCTATCAACAAAGCCTGGAGAGCTTTAGAAATGCAATTGATCCATACTAATATGTGTGGACCAATGAAGACATCCTCATTGAATGGAAGTAGGTATTTCATCATGTTTATAGATGATTACACAAGGATATGTTGGGTTTAATTTATAAAGAAAAGGTTAGAGTTGGCTGGTGTGTTTTAAATTTTTAAGGCTTTTATGGAAAATCAAACAAATTGCCACATCAAGGTGATAAGATCGAATAATAGGATTGAATACATATTGGACAAGTTTCACGGATTTATGTTGAAGCTAGAATCGAACCTCGGCTAATGGTCACTTACTCTCAATAAAATGGAGTGAGCAAGAAGAAGAATGGAACCATTATGGAGATGGCAAGGTGTCTTTTATTTGAAAAGAAGAAGCTTAAGTGTTTTTGGGCGAAGCTCTTAACACGGTTGTGTATTTGTTGAACAAACTTCCAACTAAAGATGTTAAGAATAAAACTCCATTTGAGGCTTGGTATGGAGTTAAACCAATTGTGGAGCACCTCCAAGAGCTATAGATTTTTCAATTTGAAAAAAAAATAATGGTTAGCGGGGACATCAAATTGGATGAAACAATAGTATGAAACTGGGAGAAAAATAAAATAGAAGCTATAAATGTTGATCAAATTCGGTAACCATAACCCAAGTCCTAAAAGAAATAAGAGATGAAGTTAGTGCTAATAAATTTGATGATGTTCTAGTAAAAGGAACAAGATCACTTAATAAAATCTATGAGAGACGTGATGTAGCATTACGGGAACCTACATGTTATGATAAAGCTTGTAAAGAAAATGGGTGGAGAGTTATCGTAACGCCCCAAGCCTCGAGAGGGAGGCCGAGACACTACGAAAATGGCGAACATTAGCGAAGTGCTAGAAGCAGCTGCAATGCACACGGCCGGTAGTGGCTAGGCGCACCATGGCCACGTCTTACGCTTGTCGAATGCACGTCGATGCCCTATAACATTAAACCATGCATGATGCATTCAATGCACATGGAAGACATTTGGCTTGAAAGCCTACTTAAAAAACTCAATTCGTATCTAAAACTTTTTTATCGATGCAATAGTCGTGTCCCGACTCGGAATTTCATTGACGTAAAACTACGCTAAGCGACTCGCATCTATGGCGACCTAAGTACGTCGTAATTTCATGATAGCCTATTGTCATGTGAATTTACAATGGAAACTAAGGGTCTAGCTATGTGAAAACATTATGAATGCTTTACATGGGATCTCTAAATATTTGAGGCAACATAAACATAGGAAACACAAGCTTTGGGAAAAATACTTCATTTCATCCAAAATAAACTTTTTACATGCTTTTCTTAGTCGTAAGGTCTGTTTACGTTCAACATTTACAAACAAAATCATGTTATGACATGTAAACATAAGCTAGAGATAGCCTACGACATAAATGTCTAGATGAAAGTACACCTTTCGAAAAACTCCAAAAGCGTCTAGCGAGCACCATCTTTGCGGCGGCCTACTCACGAAGCATCGTTACGTTCACCTACACCAAAAGACATAAACAATGAACTAACGCTCAACAAGTACAATCATACATGAGTTTATGAAAGCATATTTCATGAAGAAATTCATTTTCCTCTTTTGGACATGTCTTGCCAAATGTATGATCGATCCTCTTTCAAAACCTTGACGAAAACCATGGAATAAGACAATGTCTAACCGAGGACCAATCTTGGAGTATACACCGGATCATTCCCATGGGTGGCCTCTTTATGTTTAACCTTTGGGTATACAACGGATCATTCCCGTGGGTGACATTTTCATGTTCATGCAATGACTTTTTTTCTTGTTTAAAACATGAGTCATGAAAACCAATGCTATGTCATGCATGCCATGAATACATGCCTTTGTTAAAGCTTGAACAACCAAATATCATCAATAAATTCAAACTAACTTGACTGTGATACTAGCCTCTATGCTTTAAAACTATCCAATGCAAGTTATAGCCAAACATGGCAGCTACTCAATTCAACATTTCAAGCAAAAACACAAGCTAAGTAATTTTGACAAAATTATACGGCTAAGCAATTTCGATAAAATACAAGTCGAGCATTTACGATAGAATACAAGCCAAACATTTTTTACGAATACAATTCAAGCATTTTCAGTAGAATACAAGCCAAGTATTTTGATTTTCGACAGAATACAATCTAAGCATTTTCAACGGAATACAAGCCAAGCATTTTTGACAAAATACAATCCAAGCATTTTCGACAGAATACATTCCAAGCATGGCAAGATACAATCAAGAAATTTAAGAATTCCATTTAGCCACAAAGGCACATCAAATTCAACCCACATTTTTCTAGGGTTTACATGGCAATTCTAGGCTTAGTGATCGATCCTAGGTCCACATACATCAAGTTTTAACCCTTTTTCATTCGACGAAATAAACATAGCAACAATCAAGCTCAACATGTTAAAATTTTCTAAACCTAGGTCTTGTAGTGTAATTGAATAGATTACACTTGGTCTAGAATTAGGAGATAGAAAATGACGACTAAAGCTGGTCCAAGCACTTCCAGTAAGCTATAGCAACTCCAATGACTTCCACTCAAACAATTCTTTCTTTTCTCTTATAGATTATTCAAATAGCCAAAAGAATCAACCATGGTCTCACCCTCTCTTTATATAAGTCAGCCATGTAATAGAAAATTACCAAAAATTCTAGAGGACAATATCTCCTTAGCCAAGTCACCTATGCGAGGCATAGTGGTGACACCTAACATTCCACTAACTCAAAAAAAGTAAGTCCCTCTCAAATGTCCAATCCATGCTATCAAGTCCCTTAATTAAGCTCAAATCATAATTAATGTGTCCTTAAGTGATTTTCATAATAAAGGGACTAATATGTCACTATGTATGGCTAGATATAAAATTCGTCAATGAAAAAGCTGATGCCACAACGGTGATAGTTTTTGTTGATGTAAATTGGAATGTCTGGACACAACATTTTTCGTCAACAAAAAATAGTTTGTCCAAACTTAGCCATTTTCACATAGCATACTAGCATGGCCTATGGTAGCAAAACCTTAGTTAAATATTAAATCGTTAACGAAAGCGAGTAAGTCTAGACATAGCGAGTTTCGTCGACAAATAAAGTTTATCTTGGCGTGACGGTTTCGACAATGAGCCGGTGCATCGAGACATCTGCTTGTTTTTGGCGGCGAATGCGGCATGTCTTAACACGACTAGCTTTTCAGCTGCAACCACAAGCATTAGCAAAAAATTAAGCATCAATCATTAAGCAATTTAATTAGGCATCACGTTAAATACACAAAAGCATGCACATGATATGTGCAAAAGTACAGGTCATTACGAGTTACAATGGAGGAGGAGCTAAAAATGATAAACAAAAATGGAACACGAGAGTTAGTAGATAGGCCTAAAAATCAAAAGATAATTGGTGTTAAGTGATTTGTCAAAATCAAATATAACTTAGATGGTTTTATAAATAAACTTAAGGCCATATTGGTTGTAAAGAGGTATTTGCAAGAGCATGATGTTGATTTTTTAGACACCTTTGCTCTAGTGGCTAGGCATGGTACTATAAGGCTTTTAGTGGCTTTGGCGACAAAGATGGGCTGAAAAATTCATCATCTTGATGTAAAGTCATCTTTTTCTAAATGGTGTGCTTGAAGAAGATATTTATATTAAGCAACCGGAAGGATTTAAGGTTTCGGGTTGTGAAGACAAAGTTTACAAGCTCCACAAAGCTCTCTATGGCTTGAAACAAGCACCAAGAGCTTGATACGAGCATAATTGATTCCTATCTGCTACAACAAGAATTTAAAAAAAAAAAAAAGTGAAAGCGAAGTTACTCTATATGTGTTGAAGGTTCAAGAAAAAGTTCGGCTTATTATCTCTTTGTATGTAAATGACTTGTTAGTTATAGGTTATAATTCAAAAATCTTGAAGTAATTTGTGTTGCAGTTGGAGAGTGATTTTGAAATGTCTAATTTGGGTGAGATGAAATATTTTTTGGGCATGGAAATTCACCAATGTGAAGCTGGAATCTTCATCTCACAAAAAAGTTATGCTCTAGAGGTTTTGAAGAAATTTTATATGGAAAGATCCAAACCAATGACAACTCTAGTGATTATGAATGAGAAATTGTTGAAGAATGAAGTTGGCGACAAAACGGATGCTTCTATTTACGAAGCTCGATTGGCAACTCTGCTCTACTTATATACTACAAGGCTAGATTTAATATCCTCTGCAAGCCTACTCTCGGGGTTTATAGACTCACCTAGTCAAATTCATCTTGGTGCGGCTAAAAGAGTTTTAAGGTACATCAAATATATTTTTTTATTATGGTTTATGGTTTGTTAAAAAAGAAAGTAACGAACTCCAAGGATATGCAAATAGTGACTAGGCAAGAAGTATAGATGATTCTAAGAGCACTTTTGGTCATGCTTTCTCATTTGGAAGTGGAGTCTTTCCATGAAATTCAAGAAAGCAAGAGGTGGTGGCCCAATTCTCAATAAAAGCTGAGTATATTTCTATAGTAGCAGTACGAAACCAAGCAATTTAGTTAAGAAAATTGTCGACATATTTGGGGCAAAGCCAAGATGATGCTACTGTGATTTGAGTTGATAATAAGTTAGCCATTGCTATTTCAAAGAATCTTGTGTAGCATGGAAAAACCAAACACATAAATATGAAGTTTCATGCAATCGAAGAAGGTCGAGAAGAACTACGAAGTCAATTTGGTTTATTGTAGCTCAAAAAATCAAAATACTGATATATTAACTAAGGCACTTTTCAAAACCAAGTTCGAAGAGCTAAGATCAAGGCTTGGAGTCTCTAAGAAAATTCTCAAAGAGGAGTGTTAGAATTTGAGAATTTTTTAGGTACTTTGATAAATTTTTTATAATCTTCAATTAGCAGAAGATTTAGTTATAAAGGTGTAAAGATCCTTATCTCGTGGAATTTGTTTTTGAGAAAGCAAAGTACGTTAGTTGGATTTGAAATTAACCAAACAGTGATGTGTGTATATATATATATATATATATATATGAATGAAAAAAGTAACTCTGTTTTTCTTATCTCTCTCTGCAATATCAAATTTTTTTCTTTTCTTGACCAAGATCTGATATTTTTACAGCTTGCTCTGACAATCATCACAGATGTGTCTGAATGCCACCGTTACAGCTGCTGCAGAATCTTCTGATTTACCTACGACACTCATGAGAATTTTTATGACTAAAGACAATAGAGGAAATCCGTCCGATGTCGTATCAAGCCATTTTGAATATGCTCAGATCATTAAGCATACTGTCTGGAGCAATTAGGGCTCATGAGGACGTTCCAGAAGCAAAGTCCTAATCTTGGGCATTGGGTCAACTTCAACTATTGAAACATAATTTGATATTGCTCTACTGCAAAACAAAACAGCTTCTGCTGGATCCCATTGATTGTGTCCATTACCCATGCAGGTTGGGGCCTCGACACATTTCACATCAAGAATTCTCAAAGTTGCATCAGCCATCACTTGGAACTTAGCACCAAGATCTTAGCAACAAATAAATGATATAGTCGTCCACGTCCACAATAATGATTCTGGGTGTCCCAAAAGCATGAGCTGATAGTATTATAACGATCCCTATTGGTCCAGCTTCCCTGATCAAGACACTTGTTTTTGGATCACTATAATTAGTTTGACAAGTATGAATTCCAACGCTTAAAGGTTCATACGTTGCCTTTTCCTTCAAGCTGGCATTATCTTCTAAGCATGATGTAGCAATTTGCTGCACGTTCATAAGTAATTGGGAGATATAATGGACAGTGAAGTATCAATTATGTGACTCCGCTTCTAATCTTCATCAACAACACCATCGGGAAACTTTCCTCGGGTTTGAGCAGCAACATTACGTGGGAATAACTTGGTCAACTTTCCAGCAGCCTTAGCCTTATTTATGCCATCTTTATGGCTGGAAATTTCGACAACGCTAAATTCAGCAATGTCAATCTCTCTTATTGCATCATTAAAGTCAGCACCATCAACCTCATCATAAATTGAAGGAATTCTAATTTTTCATGTGCATCATGCTTGAAAAGACCTTTGTCAAATTTTGGAGGTTGATTCCAATCCACAAGAGAGCTAGAATAGTAAAAATTTTCATGCTTCAACTTCATCTTTTTGTTGCTGGAATTTTTCCTCTCTACTCTCCTCACGCTTGGATTGTTGTCCTTGAGCCTAGCAGTGCTTTCTCTCAAACTCTTCAAGTCGTTGCAAACAGCATTCTCGCGTTGCAAGTTCCTTTTCTCAAGCGTTTCAATTCTTTGTGATAAACGTGCATTCTCACATTGCAAATCTATCATGGTCTCTTGATTTTGTTGTCTTCGTAAAAGCATTGTTAGTCACTAACACGTGTGGAAACGAACCAAAACTCTGATACTAAGTTGATATCTTTTTTTGACGACTTAGACTATGACAAATACTCCAATATAGTCTTTATATGGTCGTCTTTATACGGCCGTCGAATTTTAATCCTTCGAGAGACTGAAAAATCCAAAACGTTCTTCTCTATTGATGAATGAAACAAAAATTCTAGTCTTGGTTGGTTAAGCTAAAATCTTCAAGTAGATGGAAACACTTGCTTTTGATTGATTGACAAAGTTATCTGAAACTCCAATACAATCTTGTCAAGTAATGATTTCGGTAAAATTATTAATTCCACTACACTCTTGGTTAGTTTAGTTGATCGATAGCACCTCCTTGATTGATCAAGTTCAAAGATACAAAACATAGTCAGTACATTCAAAAACTAAATATATAACTAGTTCTTTGAAAAGTGAAAGAGCATGAACAAGGTAGCTGTCCCAAGGACGAAAAGAAAGGGCTGCATATGAGGCCAAATGATCATTAAACAACTAACTCTAAAAAATCTTTCTTCTCTTTTTTTTTTTTCGGTTCAGTTTTAGCAATCTTGCAGCAAGTTCTGTAAATTTTCTCCGTTATGTGAGATGCATATATAGTTTATATAACAAAATCGGCAGCAGGTGTTTCTATTTTTCACACATATAACATTACTTATACCGTTATATAAGGTTATTAACGGCCGTTATACTCAATTTTTTACCAGAAAAGACGCCATCATCTTCTGTTGATGTTCATATTTGTGCTTCAATCTTCAATCAGATTTAATTAGAACATTAAAAAAATAAAAAATTAGAAATTTGAGAGGGAGAATCGATTTTTGAGGAAGAAAGATTATGTTGTTTTGAATGAAAAAAAAAGAACAAGTGCTGCACAAAATAGAAGAACGTATACAAGAAAGAAAAAAGAGACTAGAGAGGGAGGCGGCAGAAAGATAATATTGGTTTAGACATTAGTATTTGACTTATACCTAAAAGACTAATATTTGGAGCTGGATCTGTACTTTTAACTAATCTATTACACTTACTTTTTTTCTTTTTTTTTAATACAATTTTAATTGCACTTACCTTTTCATAATTTTTTTTAACAGATATTATTGGGCCTAGTTTTCCATTTTTTTTCATTTCTTTTAATTTGTATAATTTAAAAAATTTAATAATGTTTTCATTTTTCTTTTATTTCAAACACAAAAAAAGAAAAGAAAAATTATGACTCAATTTTTCTTTCATTCTATACTTCTATTATAACATTTCATGAACCATATTTGAAACTTAGGTTAAATGAAAATTTAATTTTTAATAGTGCAAATTATTATTGAATTATAATGGTGTGCGCGCGCAATAGAAACTAAATCATACTTTTATTATAACGATTTATGAACCATATTTGAAAGTTTGGTTAAATGAAAATTTAATTTTTAATAGTACAAATAAAAAATTATATATTTATTTAATAAAGCTACTATGAGATTAACATGTATTATAAAAACTTGTTAAAGACTGCTAAATGATTCACAATAATGAAGATTGCAATCATTATATTTAGTCATTAAAATCCACACATGTAATCACAATTAGTTACTGTTATTACAACTGCAACCGTTATTTAAAACTTATGGTGAGATGAACCAAACTCGAGCATACTGATATTTACTTTTGAATAGCGCTGTTAATTTCGCTTCAATAAAGAGGAAGACACATTAGCAATCCAAGTCTTTAGCAGGAACGCTGGTTCTCCTCAACATGAGCCGACCTCAGATTAAAATATAATTTACAGGAAACTATGACACAACATCTACACCAAAATTATGACCATGATGACACACATCTCTCCTTTGCCCTAAGACGCCAATTGCAAAGAATCAAGACAAAAAGAGATTCAGAACTTCCTAATACTTTGCTAACAATCAATTCCCTCACCACAAAACAATTTGGTCCCTACACAAGTCAACTAACTAAATCAATACAGCGTTTTGAATTTCATAATCTCCAAACACATATAGTAGGCATATGGTGGAAGAATCCCTCCTGCTCAGAGGAAATAACCCACAGCTTAAGTACTGGTCATAAAGCCCAAAATGGTTTTCTAACTGCCACAACACTCGAGTTCCCATTTGGGGATTCTTCACTAGTTTCCTCAGGATCATCATCTTCTTCGCCATATTCCATCAGCTTCACTAAAGTATCTGAAACAACTAAACAGATTAAGTAAAATAAGTGAGCAGACCGGTGAAAGAAACCAGGTAAGAAATGCTCTCGACTCCAAAGGGAGCAAGGTAACATAATTCAACTCTCCTTTCGTTTTTTCTCCAAAGTGAACAGTCTGGTACTAATGTTTTAATGCAAGTTGATGAAGGAAGCCTGAAGGATCATTTATTGGCTGAATCTAAAGTTATTTTTCCTCCATGCACCACTATCTACCCAATTTTTTAAAAAAAAAGAAAAAAACAGAAAGAGAAAGCATTCAAGTTCTAAACATACCAGGTACAGTATCAGACTTGTTTTTATTCCAAAAATTGTTCTTGTCTTGCAGCTTCGCAGCTGGAGTTGATGGAGTGAACTTTGGTGGTGGTGGGGGTGGCAGCATGGCTAGTGGAGGGGGGTGGCATTCCATTGGATGATGGCTGTACCAACTTCCTTGGAGCTGGCATTGTTGATATATTTCTCACACCCAAATCTGCTGGCAGTGGTTCACCAGGCTTTGACAATTCTGATCCCTAATGATTTAGAAAGAAAAAGTGCAAGCCTAATTTCTCAAGATCAATTACATAGAAAAGGAAAAAAAAAAAAAAAACATGAAGAATCTCTAATCACATTCAATACAATGCAAAAGTCATCCCCTAAGCACCATAAAGTTAAATATAGATTTGAGTTTGGGGCAAACAGCTAAAAGCATGGAGTGCATAGGGCCATAGGCTATGATCTCCTATTGCATTCCACACGCATGTGGCTATTCAGTGAGGCTGGTAAAACTTGCTAAACACATAATTCTAACCAACACCAATGCCAAAGCTTGTCTTGATGAAGAGATTAAGCAACTTTTCCCTAATTTCTCTCTCTCTCTTTTTTTTTTTTTTACTTATTCATTTACTGCATTTAATGCAATTTCTATATGATAATAAATCAGGCCTTAGAACTTGAATTTATAAATTATCTTCAAAAGAACAGTTTTCTGCCACCACAGAATCCTAGTGACATTGTTACAAAGCTGGAATTCAGAATTTTTACTCCAAAAAAAATCAGCAGACATGCATGAGGCACCTCTTGTGAAGACACCAGGCATCAGATATAATGAGTGTTCTATGAGACATACTATAAATGACTTAAGTATAGCATGAGCATATAACCAATCATCAGAGAGTCCATTGCCGAGTGCCATCAAAACTGAAAACCCCTGTGAAACATGCAAACCAATGGCCCTAACAGAGAGGTCTGGTATCAGCCTGTTAGCTTCTTAGAAGGTCAGAGAAAATACCTGGAATATCAAGCGGTAAAGTCAGCTTCAACTACAAAGATATCGTGTAGAATTGAGACATAAATAACCTCAAAAGAAGGTTTCGCAATAAAAAAGTGTTAAGCCAAGCCATGCAGTTATTCGTGCTTTATAGAAGAAATGTTATCAGACATAAAGACACATACATCAGTCCACCCACAAGCAATCAATCATCAATATTTTCATGCTTTACATAAAAAAGAACCAATAAATTCATCAGACCACAAACCAAGAAAACTGAGCATTGATTATGAACATAATAATTCATGGAATGCCCAAACAAATATCGCCCTAGACACATGGAGTTCTATAGACTTGCCCCAACTTCCAGCTAGCCAAAAACACATAGTTACTTGATGCCAAACGTAGTACCAAATGAGGGGCTGCCCAGGTTAACAACAGAATCAAGCAACTGGTGAATGTCCCAAATGCCTCCATTACAAATGTTGAAAGTCCAACTACATGCTGGACTGGCCTGACTTGGCACCATGTGCACATAAAACTAGGAACCACAACTTCCTATCTCCCTCTAAACAAACAAAATTGTACTCCAATCAAGACTTTGACATATGCTATTTGATCAAATTTAATATCGCAGACAGTATCTAATTCGCACTAAAATTGCAACTTCTTATTCTCTACAGTAATTTAATTGTTGCATCTCTGAGACAGGGTACTTCAAAGGTACAATGAGTAGTGCAAGTTCTCACAAATAGAGATTATCATGCAAATTAATGCTTTCTAATAAAGCAATACAGACACTGGCATGCAGAAACTCGAAACATTTTCGTGTTCAAAATTCAACATATACAAAAGCAATAGAAATAGAAAAAATTTACACTTTGCAAGAACTAAATCAATACACGGACAATCTAATCTACCATGTTAACCATGACTGGCCAGTAAAAATCAGTTATCCATTCATAAATATAGATTAACCATGAAGTCCACTGAACTCTAGGCAAAAAAGTTTCCTCTAAATGATCATGAAAAAAATACTTTCATCCAACAATAATGGATAAAAAATTATACCCTTATACTCAAGATACCAAGAACTTGTTGGGCTTAGATGATTATCAACTATTTTTGGAAGCAATCAAACATTAAACTTCCCATCCAAATCTTGTTAACTTTAAGAATATCCTGAAATCAAACCCCAAGCACCATGCAATACAACTGACACCAAAATTGGCAGGCAGCAAGTTTCCCCTGCCATCTCTTGATAAAAGGAAATGACAACTATCTCTGCTTTAACTTATAAGAAATTACATGGCAATCACATTTCGAAGGATTTTAACAATAGGCAGCCATAAGACAAATAATGCAGGTAAACCCCCTTCTCTATCATATGCTCTCACAAAATCTTATATAACATAAAATAAACAATTTTCATCCCAAAATTTTCATTTCAAGGCAGTCTTAAGAGAAGATCTGCAAAATTCAACAAAAATTATAATTGCCCATCAATAATTATTATCTTTTTTTTCTTTTAATCTTGTCTTCATGTCATAGAAATTCTTTACGATCCTTTTTTAAGTTTATTAAATTATTACTATAATTATTATTGATATTAAGACAAGACATGATTCAAGAAAAAAAGTGCACAGATACCTGATGAAGTTTTGCAGGACCCTTTGAACCAACTGGTGTTTCCTGGAACTTCCGTTTCTGTGTAGGTCGTTTGTCTTTTTCAGCAATAGAGTTCATTCCCGAATTTGGTGCTGTATTTGCTACAGATGTCGTAGGAACAACTGTCGAAGTGATGGGGAAAAGTGGCTGCCTAAGGGCTAAGACAACTTGTTGCAAAGGTGTAGCTTGAGGATATATACCACCATATCCACTATAGCTCGTTCCTCCCATTACAAAAGGCTTGGGATAACCAGCCACACTTGGCTGGGGCCCACAGCTCAAAATTCCCCCAGATTGTGATACAATCCCTTGCGAACTGACACTAGGAAGCCCAGAAACTGAACCTAAAGAAGCTGGCATGGATGGTGTAGACCTCATTGTTGGTAGCGTCAAGCCAGTAATTGGACTTGTGCTTACTTTGTGCTCAATTCCAGCAGTCTGAACTCCAGCTAACGTCTGCGGTGGTGGGACAGCATGATAAACTTTACATGACGAAGCCCTGTAACAATGAAGAAATGAACAAAAGTAAGTCACATAAAATGAGAAGACCAACATAAATGGCTGATTGAAGAATTTATGAGCATGTTCGTTAATAGAAACCAAATATCATGACAAAAGCAAAGGTTGAGGGATGTGGCAGAAAATTAATCAACTACATATAGGTGGGAAACAACAATTTTTCATTCTGCAATCCATAGACTACAAGCAATTACAAAACAATGAGGGCTAACCAAAATTTTACAAAATAGAACAAATATCAACAACAAAGCCTTAATCCCAAACAAGTTGAAGTATATAATTTAACAAAATAAAGCAGTCTATACTTCTTCCAAATTGAAGGAGCAGAACATAAACATAAACCCATGGGATGCAGCGTATCCACATAATAAATATACAAGCTTGATTACCTGGAGGCACCACACTCTAAACTGATTGTATCCAGAAGGTTTTCAGATAAACGTTTTGCATCTTCAAGACTCTTTGGATTACTAGCAGACAAAAATAAATGAAGTGGTTGCTGTGCTTCTGTACCAAAATGAAAAATAAGGCCACAACATGCTAATTAATAATACAATTACTGGCACAAAGGTTATATTGCATGCAGTAAAAAAGTACCTCCAACACTCTGGCTTTCCGAGTTTCCAGAACCACAACCTTTTAGTATGACAGTCGCCCCTGTTTCATTCATAATATGATTTATGTACTGATCCTGCATGTACAAAACCAAACCACCACCAACAGAAAGAAAAAAGCTCTCCCAATGGTATGGAGATGTGAGAGAAGCTTTAAACATTAGAATCTCTCATCTTCATTGTTCACAATAAAAACAAAAATAATGAGTCAAACAATAAGGCATAGCTCAAACCAGAAGGTAGAAAAGCAAGACAGTTTTTAGTACCACATATAGTCAGTTTACCTTATTTATTACTACATTATAATCTAGATGAAATACATACAAGGAAATAACTCATAAAATGATACAATGCAACTGATACTACAGACATCCAGAACCTGAATAATTACAAGTAACCCTACAAAATCCCACTAGTCATCATATGACAAGGAAAGCAGAGAAGAAAAACTCACATTTGGTCCACGAATTTGAGCAGCAATATTCACTGTTGGGTCTGTGTCAAAGCCCAAAAACACACACGTGCTTAGTGCCTGGGACAACTTATTCCGTTAGACATTTCTATGTTGTGACAGTTATCTGAAGCTCATACCTTAATAAACTAGCAGCGCAAGACATCTATATACCTTTACTCCATTAACTGCAGCAGTTTGAAAAATGGAAGAAGCAGGTTGTGAGCTCTGGCCCAGTTTCAGTATTTCGTCAACCATGGCTGCTGCACGATCAACTGCCAAAATCCGTTCTGCAGTATCTTTTAACTGCACATTTTATCCATCTTTTATGCCCAAGGAATCAAATCCAGTTTACGTAATATTTTCAAAGACTCAGAAATTATATATTATGGGAATTGTGAAAAAAAGAGCATAACTAAAGCTCTAGCGGATGACTAACAAATTACTGACTCTGAGGCCTGTGAATAATACGTAATACTTACATGAGCAGCAGCAGATATGTGAAGATATAATGGCTTTTCACCGTCTGGCAGTGCATTTGGTGGACGATACTTGCCCCTGCAAGGAAATTAAGCATACTCATAAAACGGACAGAAAGAAAGGCCTTAAACAAACCCCTCATGCAACTTCAAGGACCTACTAACCTAGTTATCACCACAGCACCAGTGCATTTCTGGATCTGAAAGGTAAGGAAAAATATTTATCAATTCTTGATGGCACAGAGAAATTATGTTCTTGGCTTTTAATGAAAAACGAGTCAACATCTTCCACTCAAGCAAACTGATTTTGAAAGACTTACCTCTTCCTGTGTCTGCCGCTTTGTAAGCTTGTAGCGAACAGAGGACTCTGCATCATTTATAACGATCTCTCGTGCTATTATTAATTCATCCTGAATCTTAGGCTGAACCCAAATGAAAAAATTTTTAAAACAAAAACGCTCACAATTATTACGTACCTAAATTGAGAATGTAACCATATATTCAAACAAAAAGAGTCATAACAAAATTAATCAAAACATTTTATGAGATAATATGAATAAGTTAAAAGAAACAACATTGAATAAAAACTTTCACGATGACAGTAATTATTGGTTATAACCCTCATACACAACGTGTCATAAGCAACATAAAAATAAAGTATCTCACTTGATTTGGTTTCAGGATCACAGTAGCATTATTTTGTGGCATCGAAGGCACCTGAAACATAGGCGGAACAATAGCAACTTGGGGATTTTCTAAAAGCGCACCAGAGACTGAAGCAGCCCCTGGTAACGAGATCCCAACAAGTGACCCCACATTTCCTAATTGAACAGCACCAGATATTGCAACTCCAGCTGAAATCAGCGACTCAGCAGGCTGATCCCATTTTCTCTTTCTCCTGCACCATATGATACAAGATTAGTTTCCATATATTCATAAATAAAAATCAGCAATATCTTATCAAGCAAGGCACAGTCATGATCACAGCTTTCATGGCTCTGTAAAGTGAATACGTTTAAGTCCAAACAATTCTATCATGATCTAATGCACAATAGTCTAGTATTTCCCTTCCTTCAAGTAAAAAGAAAAGGCCAAATTAAAGCTTTCTTTTTTCAAGCATAATGCAGCCTTTTCTTTTTGTTCAATTAACCCCATTTCGCTTTTTTCCAAAATTCAAACTACAAAATCATAATTCGAAAAATCCCTAAAAAGAATAAATTATACCAATCCTGAGTCCAATTGCAACCCAACAAAATAATAATAATAATACCAATGTTAACATGTTAAAAAAAAAAAAATACTCTTTAAGCTGTATATATAAAGAAACAAACTGAAATAGCGCGAGCAATTAAGATATTGAAATAAACCCTAACACAACAAAATCAATAACCAAGCATAAAAATGGTTGGAGTTATTTTCGTTATTTCTATTTTATTTTCAGTTTTGAGGGAAACAGTTTGGTTACCTTTGCCTGGATTGTGATGATGATGCTGAAGTATCCGTGTTTGCCGTCGAACCATCGGTAGAAAACCTAGTACTGCTGTCCTCTATCATGTTTTATATCATTGAAGTCTCTCTCTCTTTATTTTTCCTTCTTTGTGGTCAATCTTTCCAATAAATTGACGGCTGTGGAGGTGGTGGTCGTGTTGGAGGAGGAGAGGAGGAGGTGTCAAATTTTAATGTTTTGGCGGTGTTGTGTGGATCGAGAGATTATAAGAGGAAAGAGAGGAGAAGGCCTGGATAACCAATTGGTTTGTGCCACTTCATATCAGAGTTATTTGTGGGACAGCTACAACTCTAGCTAGCCTATATCCTCTTCTCGGAGTTTTTTTTTTTTTTTTTTTTGGTTTCGGAAACGTGGTGTTACTCGCACGTGCAAACGGGAGCCAATTACTAGCTGCTCAAAAACTGTTCCAACCAAGCTCGCATCGTTTAAATTCATGACATGCTCATATTATACATGCGAAGATGATTTTATTTATAAATACCTTGTTTTATCTGGGTTTTTACTTTATATCTACATCTACATCTACGTGTATATGCTCAATTTTTCCTAAAATTAATTATGTAATTGAGTTGATTTTTATTATGTATTTAATCATGTTATTTTATTAATTTTAACATTAATCCAAGTTATACCTTATGATAGACCTTGTTTAGCATAAGTTTTTAAGTTGCAAGGATGGATATGAGTATTTTTTCATGATTAATATTCATATCTTGCCTTTGAAATGCATTAAAAAATATTACTTTGGAGGATTTGAAATAAGATCCATTTTTTTAAAAAAAAAAAACATCAATTGTTATTTTTTTTTTTTTTTTTTTGCTAACAAGTTGAAATAATTTAGTTCAAAAAATTCAAATTTCTTTCACTCAAATTTGACTATCAAAATATGGATAACGTTGCACAATCCTAACGATCAAGAATCATCATCAATTCATTATAAATATCAACGTTACATTATTATGAGGACATTTTAACTTTTTTAATTCTTAACAAAAAAAAAACTTATAAATTTTCTCTCTCAAAGCTCTTCTACTCGAACACAAGAATACATCTAAAATTTCACATGTTTAGATTTTGACTATTCACATATCAACCACTTGACTTATGTTTTGCTAGCACTAGCTATTCCTTTTCTCATGTTTCTCATTACTTGTATTCATTCTATTTAGTTAGATAGATGTTATTTTTACAAATTACAATACTAGTTCTTTGTATCTTGACTTATTTATCGAGTTAGTCATTTGATTAGTTGTCTATTCCCACGGACTATATAAAAGGGAAACATTCTAACCTTCCCACATGCTATATAAAATGGAAACATTCTTTTGTATATGACACTAAAAAATATATTCAATACTAATATATATTAAGAGGATTTTATTTATGAATTCCTTGTTTTTTTAGGATTCTTCTCTGTATCTATATAAAAAGAAAACATTTTTTTATATGACAATAAAAATTTGTGTCCATACTAATATATGAATTCAACTCTATCTCTAATTAATAAAGAAATTAAAATATAAATGTAATTTTTTAAAATTAGGTTAATCTTATTTTTTATTATATGTCTATTTACTCATTGTATAAAATTTTAAGGTGTTGTTTGATAACAAGAAATAGAATATGAATAAAGAGGAAGAACAAAAATAAAAATAAAAATTAAATAGTTTCATTCTCACAGGAAATGTGAGAATAAGAATTGAAAATGGGATTTCTTTTTTTTTTTTTTGTAGAATAATACATTATTTAAATTTATACTAAAAAGTTCAACCACTTTTGAATTTTAAGTCATTTGAGATTGAATCCTTTAACTTTTTATTATTTTAAAGATTTCTTAATTTTTAATTTTTTCGCATTTAGGTCCATTCAATGATTTTCAAATATTATCTTTCCCTTTTTTAAAAAAAATAAAAATTAACCCTTGGTATTTTGAGCTGAAATTTTGAACACATGTTGGAAAAAATTCTATCCATTTTGCAAAAAACAAAATTAGAATTTTTCAAAATCAAAAACTATATTTGTTTAGTTTTTGAAGATTAAAAATATAAACTAACCTCGAAATGATTCTAATTTTTTTAGCGAGTCCCACATAAATTTTACAGAATAATTTTCATAATAAAACTATTGATGTGATCTGTTATTTTTTGAGATAAATGATAGAAAACTGAAGGATGAGCTAAATCTGAAAAAAAAAAAATTAAAAGTTTAGAGATTTCTAAAATCAATAAAAAAGTTTAGAAACTCAACTTCAAAAAATTTAAAGTTTAAGAGTGGTTAGATTCTTTTGCCCTTAAATTTATTATCTATCAACTATTTTTACTACCATTACTATCTCGACCACTACGGATGCCACTTCCTTGATGGTGGAATTAATGTTTTTTAATAATATTACTACTATATTACTAATATCATCTTTTCTTCCTCTTCCATCATTACCACCATTAATTATTCACATTATTTTTACTACCACCGCTATTTATGAAACAATTCTTGTCATAACCCATTTTTTGTCCCTCATAAATTTTTATTTTATTTTATACAAAATTTGAAAAAAAAATTACATGTTATATAGTTTTTTTTTTATTTTTTCGTAATTTTTAAGTATTTTTAAAATTTTAGGATTTAAATTGCTTATAATTATTTCCTATTTTTTTAAAGAACAAAAAATAAAAATAAAAAGAGAAATTGAAAAGGAGAAGAGAATTGAAAAAAGAAGAAGATGAAATTAAGCAATTATGTATGTAGTTGAATATCCTAAAAGAAAGAGGATAGAAATTGAATTTAGTTTGGATGCAATCAAAGGGGGATGGGGGAGAGATCAACAAATTCAATTAGGGGCATAATTAAAAAAAAATGAATGGGTATCAAATTAAAACAAAAAAAGCACTTGCAATGCACAACCAAAATGAAATTTGGCCACCATTCCAAACCCTACATATAAAAACTCAATTTCACCTCACAAAAGGGGAGAGGCGACCTTAATGTAATGCCCTCGTCCCGATCCACTTTCTACTACCCAAGTAGGAGTACTAGGCGAAGCACGTCACGCCGACACGTCGTAACCTACTCCTAAAATGATTATGCTTTGGTTCGAAAAACTAATATTACATGGCATATTAGGATGAAATAAATGTACATAACATGAATTAAATAGCTATTATTATTACAAGCAGTAACAAGTTTCTTTATCAACCCCTAAATTACGGACGGATAAAATAAAATCTAATATATGATGCCGAACAGGAGCCGATTAGGAGGATCCAGTTGCATCCTTACTACATCGTCCTTTTTCATGTTACAGACATGAAAATAATAACAGATTGAGTCGAAGCTCGGTAAGCGGGGTAATGCAAATGTAATGTAGATGTTTTGTGACTCCCTACCATACTCATCGGTTTTTAGTCCGGGTATCCTAGGTAATTAACGGTCATACTCTAATGGTGATTACCGAATCATCGAATGCTAACAACGGTATTGTTCCTTGTTGTAGCTACTATTGACGAGAATCCTTCGTCTAACGATACACGCATATAGCTAGACCGCTAATACCCATTAGTTCGTTAGGTTACCAAACCTAACCATATGACTCATTTATCAACTAACTGACTGTTTCTCATACCATTCCCACAATGCTCATGATGCACATGCCAACATGTTTACTCGTAATAGACACATCAAGATTACCGAGCCCTACGTTATTCCTATTCCTAAGTACTCGGCCCTCACGGGGTTTAGTTTTTCATATTCCTATTGTCCAACTCATACGGGGTTTCGGGCACCTTGTACCTCATGTTCTAATATTCATAGAAATATCTTTCCCATAACCCACATGGTTACCAATTACTCAATCGGTTTTGTTCTGTTTGGACGACGTTATCTTTCGTTGTTTGTTTTATCGTTTTAGGTTAGTTAATTCCTCAATCTAATACCTTGGACATTCCTTACGCTAATTTTGGACTTAACCTTGTTTTTATCCTCGATTGGACCTAATTAGCCCATGTTGACTTAACTAACCCATTTTATACCAAATTATGTTATTGGGCATACGATTTTGCCTTTAACGGGCGTTAGGCCAATTATGGCTTGACGGTTAGAGTTTGTGGCTTTTTGGTAATTTAATCCTTCTAATTCAAAATTTATTTCCTATTGGGTCTCGGTTGGCTCGTTAGTCCTTAAATAAATCTTATTAGGCTCAAAAGTCATTATTTTCTTAAGTTTGGGCCTAAAAACTGGTTTAAAGTTTTTCCTTCTCAATTTCTTTGATTTTCTTGTGATTTCTTCCCATCTTACCTAATTAATTTACACATCCATTAGATTATGATTGGATTTTAGTCTTTAAATTCCATGGAAAGCCTAATCTTGTTTAATTTAGGTTCCTTGGCCGAATAGGTTCAAAAGGGAGTCTAAATGTTTGCTTGATTCTCTCCTTAATTTATTCATTTTCACACTTAGTCCTTATCCTTAAATTATGGTCCAAATTCATCAACACACGGTAAGATATACCCGTGATTATGGTGACTTCAAGGATCACATAAATATCTTACAAAAATCCAAACCAAGTTATTCAAATCAACCAACACAAATCAAGCATAACAATTTAAACAATAACCAAAACAAGTAAATAAATTAAGCACATAAAGAAAAGGAGTTAAAGCATGAATTAACCCACTTACATTGAGTTAAGCTTTTCCTTTTTCCTTTTCCTTTTTCCCTCTTTTCCTTCTCTCTTTCTTTTTTTTTTTTTCCTTTTCTCTCCTCATGGTTTTACCTTTCTTTTCTTTCTTTTGGTGGCTTACGGATGGGCTCTAAAATTGATCTAAATCCTTTCATCTTTTCACTCCTCTCTTATTTATATACTTACCTCTTTCCTTCTAGAATGGGTTATAAATGGCTAAGCTTAATTGGCCAAAGTGTAAAGTGAAAGGATGACTAAGGAGATAGGTGGCAAATTTGGAGAGGAAAAAAATGGGGTGACTTAGCTCAAATGGTTTTAATGCATGGCTTAGGTGTCTAACTTGGTCCTAACCATATCCTTAGCCTAACTAAG